TCAAGTTTGGGTATTGTTTTGATGCGCACGCACGTTTCTACAACAATACCTTTGGGTACATCTTGGATCGAGACCGTTGGGATTGTATGCTGGTGCTTTACGCAGCTGGTGAAACCATATCTCCAGCATTTGTTGAGGCTTCCCTCATTCAGGAATTTAAGGGTGTCTGGGGCCCAACCTTTATCAACTCTTTGTGATGTGTTTCTTTTACAGTTTACACTGATATTTTTTGAATCCATGTGGCAAACCTTGGCCACTAACATGACACCCTGCATATATATATATATAAGGACAGCAGGGCTGCCGCAACATCAAAGACGGCGGAGACACTATTCGGGAATCCGACGATGGTCCTTTTCTGGTCTACATGGTGTACAGAAGCTTCCAAAGACCTAGCAACGCTCCATTGTTGGTGCGCTCTACTGTATAGCTGTGGCACATAATATCTGCACGTAAACAGGTTGAAGTTGCACAAGGCTGCATGTGATTGAAAAGTGTGCATGTTTGAATCAAATTTGATCAATGGAAACATGTGCAATCATTCTGATGATAGATCTAAAAATGCTGACCTTTGTATGATACTTTGTACATATATATATATGTATAGTGGCAGGTGCATGGTTCCTTTTGCAACGCTGAGGCTGAAGCAGTTGATCGTGGAGGAAAAGAACAAGATCAGGGATTTGATCCTTGGCCATCCATCTCACAAAGCACCGAATCCCCAACCCTCGGCGGTGAAGATGCTTTTCATGTGATGGAACGCGTCATTTTAGGTGTGCTACATCCCTGACCCTGGAAACTCAGCAGCGGCCAGTGGCCCAAGATGTGTGTCTAAAACTTGGGATCTATGATTGCTTCCCAATCCTTGTTCAATTCCACAGGTGTTTGGATTGATTCTGCAACATTAGGCAATTGATCAAGTCCAACAAGACCAACCAGAAAAAGAATGGAAAGGGAGCTGGGTCGGAGAAGGATACGAGAAAGGGAACACGGGCTTCGACAAAGTCGAAGAAGGACAAAAAGTCTGCCAAGAACAAGTCTGGCAAAAGGACTGCAAAGGGTAAGGGTAAGGTAGAGGATCCTGAATCTGCGGGCACCGTGCCTGCCAAAAGGGTACGTGGCAAGAACAAAGGTGCCTGAGTGCCCACATAGACTGAGCACCCACTTAGCGTGTCTACTAAATGCTACAGTAAATCTTACGTTCATTATATGGTAGTATACTTGCAAGGTGTTCATCCCTATCCTCCACCAAATCATGATTTGCTGCAAGTTGTTAAATTGGTTGTCACTCTCATGTCTTACCTGGTGGGTCTTGGCTTTGGGTTTTCTGAACACGTGGAAAACCACGTGCCTCACAAGGGGATGTACAGCTGTCTTTCATTCTGCAGCGAGTGTAGTTCTCATTGCACCGGTGTAGAGGGACAATTGATAATTGGACCAATTGGATCGATCGAGACATGTTGCATCGCAACTTCGTGGGCAAAGAACGGCTGCGTGGCGTTTCCAATCTGCATCCCCAGCTTTTCGATGCCCCTTCACAACCTGCACTTGCCATGACTCTGTGACATGCCAGGTCCCTCGCATAAAGCGCGTCAGCTCGCATGGCGCTATGGTTGCGGGGACTCTGAGCGCAATGGAGTGGTGAGGTTCCTAATTGAAATCTGTGGTCCTTCAACGCGTAGATAGAATCATATATATAATCATATATATAAGAGAGAGAGAGAGAGAGCGCTTATATTACTATTATAATATATTCTTTAGATGAAAAGCCTGGATGACTGGAGATTTGCATGCTACATGGTTTGGGGTGTGACTTCATTGCAGCCATTGCATGTAACTGTAGGCCCATGACCTGTGTGCAATCTGCAGTAGACTTCATGAAATAGGATTCTGGTGGTGTGGCGAGGCAATGCTGCTATTTGTTTGGTCATAGTGTTGGCACTCGCCACATGGCCTAGGAGCCTTCGACTGAGATCATCAAGTTTGCTGAAGCTGCCTGCAGGGATGATATGGAGGATGGTATATCCCTCTCTTGCTGCCCAGTGTTGACTGCGCTTGGAAAGGCGAACAGCAAGAACTCCGATACCAGGCTTTGCCTGAAAAACATTATCTATTTTCAGGGGTCAAAACTGTTGAAACCGTTCTATGATCTTAAAACATTTAGCCTGGGTCCCTGCTAGAGAGTAGTTGCAAGTGCTGCGCACGTGGATGTTTTGGTGCCGCCTACAAGCCGCTTAGGAGGCAGAAGTGCAACGGGTCTTTAAGGCGAACGACTTTTTTTATGATGTTCCTATGACTGTGGAAGATCAACAACCTTTGAAAGACTTTTGGTGGCTGAAACCAAGTGATTTCCTACAGACTATGGCCAAGAACAACGATTTGGGCAACATCATGGGTGGCTTCTCAACCATTGCCAAGGCAGCCCCTCTATTGGAAACTTTTTGGGAACGCTACAGGGTGGTATACCCACAGTTTCAACTTTTCGAGCGTGTCGATGCTGGCATTTGTTGCTACCGGCAATGTATACCACTTTATTTGCACGGCGATGAAGGAATCACCTTCAAGAAAGGTGGTGTCCTCATTATGTCTATGCAGTCCCCATTGGGGTTTGGCACTTCCAAGCGACCCATGGAGATGTCATTGAATTTGGAAAAGGTTGGGGAATCAGGGCTTCCACTCAATTTTGTGAAGTGTGGTATGCTGACACGTATGGTCATGGTGATTTGCCCCAAGGACAGGTTGTGGGAAACAAGGGTTTGACTTCAGACTCGGTAGGTCTGCTATATCGTATATAACTGTAGTGCTTCGAGTATATCAACTTTTTCCCAGGAATTTGTTGATGAAACGTCCCTGAAGGAGATGTACAAAGAAGACCCACGTGTGTGGAACGCAATCTTTGACAAGGTGGCAACAGATTTTCAACTCATGGAAACCAATGGGATTGAACTGGATGGCCAGGGCTTGGTGTACCCGATAGTCATAGGGAACAAGGGGGATTGGAGCTACCTTGTAACTTGGCTTGAACTTGTTTATTTTCATATCGCTATACGTTGCAGTTTTTCTTTCAGTGTTTTCATCCTATTCACCTGACAATCCACCCACTCGATCTAGCAACAAAACTGAGGTATCTTCCGCCAACCTTGAACGTTCCTACAGAAGGGCACCCAAATCAGCCAAAGATTGTGATCGCGGCAATGACCGGAATGTTGAGGGTGCTGGGGTGTGTCACCTTTGTCTGTGTGGACAAAGCCTGGATTGGGAAAACCTGTGGCTTTGAAAGAATTGAATTCCTTTATTTTTTCCCCCTGCCTGACCTGTATACTGTCCCCTTCTGGAAATGGTTCGAAGAGTGTTACCCAACGCCTAACGTATGCGTTTGTTCGCGCATGCACACAACTTATATTAATTGAAACTGGTTTTCACATTTTCCGGGTGGCTTTGTTCTGTAAAGTTTTGCCTATATATAGAAGTCTAAGGACTCAAGCCGAACGAGCCATGAGGGACGCAAGAACAATGGGGATTGAGGAACCTTGGTTCCGAGAAAGTGTCTTGACCCGAAAGCTGCTTCATGACGGTGCAATTAACGGCAAGTCTCGGTTTCACAAGTACGATTTATGGCACAGTTTTCATTTGGGTGCTGGAAAGCACTGGATTGGTTCAGCGATGATGATTCTTCAAAGCAAGATTCCTGGGCGTGAGGTTGGCGAGAGATTTTCAACCATCAGTGCAGCCTACAAACAGTTTTGCCGTCGCGAAAAGATGACATGTATTGTTTCGAAGTTGGATCAGCATCTCTTTGGGTCCACTTTGGAAGAGCCACAAGGAACTTGGAGCAAAGCAGCGTTGACCAGCAACCTATGTTTGTTTCTGGAGGATTACCTCTCGCACCACCCGGAATTGATTGGGGATGACGAAAGGTTGCGCCTCTGGGAATTTTGACACGATTAGTTTGCAACATACGTTTTGCTTATATACGTTCTTGTTTTGGGGTCCTCTGTGTACAACATACCTGCTTCCCAGCTAGAGGTAATTAGCATGCAGGAGTTCAAAGCAAGCTAATTGGATCCAATTGGTACCCACGCACCATCCCACTTGAGGAATATGGCAACAAGAAGATCAATTTTTTCTTCAGGTCGCTGTATGCCTCTGACCTATGGCTTGAGAACAAAATTGCACGAGAGCTGGCAGAGTCACTGATCCAGTTCATCAAGACCTATGTGTCCTTGGCGAGGAAGTCCTACGACTTACACGACCAAAAGTTTGCTTTGATCCCCAAGATTCATGCGATGCACGAAGTACAGTTTGAGATGGTACGTCAGTGTGAAATCAGTAGATGGGTGTGGAACCCTATCTCTGAAACATGCAGCGTTGACGAAGACCTGATAGGAAGAGTTGCAAAGCTGACACGGAAAGTCTCTCCCAAACTAATTGGGAAAAGAGCATTGGCTCGGTACTTAGCCCAAATCAACATTGTTTGGGCGCGATGATGAAAATGAGGTTGCGCCAGGGTTGGAATGAGGCAGTGTGGGGGAACAGGGAGGCTGGAACCAGGGATCTACTTCCAGGTGTTCTCTTGATCTTCTGGATTCTCTGGGTATTCTAGAGTAGTCTCAGAATGCACCATTTTCAGGCCTCAAAACACAGATTTTGAAGGAAAACAGCAAACACGTTAAAAACCGTTCGAACACGTTAATTACCGATCGGGCATGTTGAAACCCGTGCATGGGTACCAATTAGCTCTCTTTGAGCTCCTGCGTGCTAATCAGTCTCTAGCTGGGACGCAGGTAGTAATAACCTGGACCATCCAAAGGGTGGTGATTGGATGGAAAATAGATGGTCAGGGAGGGGGGATCTATAAACCACCCAAACTGGGTGGTGCCGGTATAATACACGTCGTACTATATCACTATACACCTTCCCCTCAAAAAGGACCCAACACTTTCCGCCATGCCCGTGCACGCCATGCGTCCGACCCCCCCCGTTCCCTCGTTCCCTCCGGCCTGGCTCGTAGTCGCACTGGCCCAGCTCGCGGGGCATGAGGTCGCTCGGCGTGCCGCTGAAGCCGATGCGCTGGCCGAAGAGGATCGAGCCGCCCAGGTCTTGTCCCGACGCCTCGGGCGGAGCGATCCGGTGACCCGGTGCGGCGGGAAGGCCGCCGCGGAGCGGGTGCCGCGTGTTGGGGGGGGTTCTTCCGGTCACACACGCCATGCTCGGGAGTGAAGGCAACGCATATGCCAAAGAAGGAAGACGCGTTGTCGAGTCTGGCCCATGTGGCGAGAAGACACGACGCTGGGGCATAAAACGACGAGAAAAGTGGATCTGCTTGGGTTTCAACTCACTCGAAAGACATCGACTGCAACGGTGCAATCTTGCCAGTTGGAAAGGTTGAACATGAACATACCCTATAGGGCTCCTGTCCCATATCCTCAGGCTCGGTGGTATTCGACCCCCCTGGCACCCACCCCTGTCCCACCTGCGTTTCCACGCAGGTGGGCCAGGAGCCCTACGTAGGTAGGGATAGAAACCACTCTGGGGGTGACGCTTTAGACCTCTGGGGGATGTTGGAGCGAGTGCAGCAGCTGCGTTCCAGTGGATGTCGGCCCAAACCGTTGACGACAACGTGGGTCTTCGGGTCGGATTGACGGGGCGTTGCTTCACAAGAAGGGTGGTCAGGTGAAGAGAAGTGGTAGCATCCAAACGCGTCCAAATCATGTCTGCAGAGCATGAACAACTTAGAAGAGGCCCCCGTAACAAGAAATCCGACAGAAGTTCACCATGATGCTCCATGAGGCTTTGCTGGCTTGAGAATGTTCACATGGCAGGGTGTTCCATGCATTGGAAACACCTATTATATAGACTCGATCTATATAGACCTCGGCCCTATCTATCTCATCTATCTCCAATGTCTCTCATACCAAGTGTATGACTTGCAGGTCAGCATGAACAAAATCCTAGCATCTCCCAGGTCCGTAGCCTAAACCAACAGGAGAGAGCCCAAATACTCCCAAACCCGTTGCCTGCGCCAACCAATACTCCCTGTGCCATCACCTTTCGTACCGGACCGGCGCCTGCCAGACGACGGCAGCGACGACCCAGCGACCCCCTGGACCCCTCGGACGGCGCGGGGCCGAGAGCTTCTCGTCTTGGAAGCGCATGACTCGGTCGGTCGCCGGCGAGGAAGGGGCGGAAAGGGGCCCGAAACCGGTGGGGGCGGAACCGGTGGTCCCCCCTCTTCAGTTCTTCTTTTGGGGCGGGGGTAGTTGGGTTCTTGACTTTTGGATACTTTTGGAGAGAAGGGGCTGAATCTAGACGTAGCAGTGTGGTCATGAATGTGTTCCTCTGAGGTCTCAACATGTCTATCGGTGTGGTCGCAAAAGCACTGTGTTATAGTTCATGGGATTTCATGGGTGCATATTTCATGGTTCCTGATTTCCTCTTTGCCTTCTCATGCAAGCTCAGCTCGAAGCATTTGCATGGATCCCGTTATGCGTCAAATTGGTCAAGCTCATCTTGCCAGAGGTAAGACAAAAAGCCTGGTGATCGAAGCTGGAGTGGGTAGCCTTCCTCTGTGGTCGGTGTAAATTTACAAAGCATGTCTTTGGCGTGCACCTCTGTGCATTGTTATATCATATTATCGGAATCTGCAGAATCCTATATCGCGCATACAGCGGCGCAGCACTGAGATTTATAGTGCGTGTTTAACAGTACCTATATATGATATATATAATATGGGGATGGGTCAAAACCTGGAGCCCTGGTCCACCATGTAGCTTGAGTGGATACATCAATGAATCATGATGCATCACGGCTATATCATCTATATTTAACATATTCCATCACAAAAGGAGATTGCATACCAAGAAAAATACAATAAAAATGCAAGAACTTGAATGCTCAAAGGAAGAACGAGCCTTTTTCAGACCTGATCCATTTCCGAGTTCGATCACTAATGGCATGGGGGGAAGTCTCCTCCACCTCTCCTCCCATTCTGCCCCGCCCCCCGCGACGTCCGGTGTGACCGGACCCGACCGGACGTCCGCGAGCGCGAGCAGCGCTCTTTCTCCGAGGGGCACTGGGGGAAGACCGACTGTTCCAAGTAGAAGTGCACCGCTGAGGGCAACTTCCGCAGGAGCTCAAAGAGTTGAGCCATGTTCGCCTGGAAGCGAGCGAGCGAGCGAACCGGAGACTGGAGCAAGGGCGCAAGAGCCATGAGAGTCCGACCATGGGTCGACAGGGCACCCAAATCCATTGTTCGGATGTCTGGGCTTTAAGTCTTTTTTTTCCATGGGACATGGGACAATTGGTTCACAAACTGCTTTTTCTTGGAGTTTAGAAGCTTCGGGAAGCCGGAAGCGGACTCAGTTGGGGCGCATTGGTCCAGTTTCGAGGGCGGCAGAGGAACCGCAGTTGTGCTTGGCCCAGCGCAAATGGACTGATCAAAGACTCAATGGGCTGCTCAAATCTGCTTTCAGCACCATTGGACTTCGTTCTGAGTGCCATGTTACTATGATTAATTAAGAGTTTAAGATACACCATGATACACCTCATTTGTGACCAGACATGGGTGACCTAAACGTCTTCACCATCCACTACCCAGTGCCACTTACATATACAAAATGTCCCCAGAACTACCCTTGCGTCGGCCATGTGCGGTTCTTGCGCAGTGACCCACAGCTCAACGACATGAGCGGCTTCCATGTCACCGCCGATGTTATTTTCGTAGAACCTCCAGGTGTTACGTTTTGAGCGGTGGCACGTCGTAGAGCTTTTGCGACTTCGCACGTTTCTCATGTCATGAGATGGTCTTCCCATTTGAAGATCCACGTTTGGGCGCCAGCAGAGAGTCTCTCACCCAGCCCCCCCCTGGCACACGCTGAACCGGCACACCTAGGCCTGTCGCGGAGACGTCGCGCCGCGGCGCGTCGTTAGACGAAAGGTCGCCTCATTCCGTCGCTCCAGCAAGTGCAAGGGCAACCTGCGGCGAGGTCGGGCGAGGTTCAGTGGCCTTTCAACGAGTGAAGCACAACCCAAACGCTGCGTGAGTTGAGACCCGACCTGGAGTTCAAGATAAGAGCACGTCTATACGTCCTGAAAGAAAGTTTCTTGTTCAACCTCCAAATCAGGATTTCGGGCGACCAAGCGGATTTATGGAGCCCAAAAACCGGGGCTAGTGGCCAGGTTGCCTCCAGACTCGTTTTGTTAGTCGTACACACAAGAAAAAAAGACTTGAAACGGCTGGTCCTCCTTATAGACGTTGCAGGCACATCACATCACCCCCATTCAGGGTTGTCCACCCCGCTTCGTCCACCATTCCAAACCACCGGGGCACACGCGGGCTCGCAGTCGATCAGGCTTCTGGAGCTTGCCACCCTCCTGCAACTGGAGTGTCCATGCGGGGTTGGAATGGGTCTTGGATCGTGACATACCGGAAGTCCGACCAGTCCACCATGTAACTCGATCTTTCTATGCACAATGTCTACCAAGCTTGGCACATGGCCAGCGGAAGATGGTATCACTGACCTTCCAGGTAGATCAACCAATTCCCACTGGGAGGGTTTTTCACCGTAATGAGCGTAATGATTGGGTCATTCCACCTGGTAGCTCCAACACATCCAACATATACCTTAATTGAAACCGCCGGTAGAGAATCACCGTTCGGTCTGGTGTGAATCTGATCGTGCAGAATTGTATCACTTGGAGTATTCATCAAAATGGCTGAATTCAAACCATTTTGAATGAAGCATGGTGACCGAACTCATTTCGGACCCACGCCTGACGTCAGGTCCCAGGAACCCCCAGCATCTCAGTCCACCAAGACAGATCGCGGGCTTGCACCAAGAGGCGAACGTAAGGGATTGATTCGAGCCATGGGCCATGGTTCTCAGTCCTTTTACAGCAACACAACCTCACAAGCCTCCCAAACCTCTCCACTCAGTGTCCATGTGTCCCAAAGAAGCCACCCCGTGGCGAGCGCATCTGTTGCTCCGTGGCTTTGGGGTCCTCCAGGCCAAGCACTTGCGAGGAGGTCTGTTCATCCAACTCGGCCTGGCCAACGCCAACTCGAGCCCGCCGGTGGACACCCGAAAAAGCTCGGACACAACAATACACAAAATCTATTATGGATCTACTATAATTATAGGATACACAGTACGAAGCTCAGCTGCAGCTTGTGGGACAGCAAACTACATCATAAGGCTACTAAGCTCTGCTGTCGCTTGCTCATCGCAGTTCTGGCGCCTGCTTCACGCAGAAGTCGGCGCCCGATTCCTCCACCCAATTCCGCCACAGCAAGCTGGTGGGCCTCGGTCGGCGCGGGGCGCCGCCGCGGTACACCATGGTGCAGCGGTTGAAGAAGAAAAGCCCTGCAATTCTGAGAAACGTCGATGGAAGAAGAAAGATGTTGGACATGGTCCAACTATGTCCAACTAACTACTATATAGCTAATGATTGGCTGTTGGGGCTAGACGCGACCTCTACCATACCATCAGTTGGCTTGATCAGAGTTGTCCAGACACAGACGCTCAGAGATGGGATGGATTCTGGACGGAGTTGACTTGTCAAATGAGTCCTCCCCGAAAGGAAAACCCCACCCAGTGAATACCCAATGTCATTACTGGATTTATCATGTATATGTGTTGCTTGTGCAACAAATGATCAGGGTGTCTACACCAAATGCATGTAACAAAGTAACAAAGTAGTCCTTGTGACTGACACACATCCATGTAGATTGTAACGGCCTTCATGGCCTTGTGACTGACCCAAAAGGCGGTGACTTTGTCTACCGGCATGCAGATCGTTTTTTGGCAACGTCATATTCTCAGCGTGCGTGCCAATCAATCAAGTGCCCATCAGCATGCTGGGAAGCCTAAAACATCCTAAAACCGTCGGAATTGCTGCATTCAAAAGCCCTAAATGTATCTATAATGTCCATTAATCTACAAGCAGTACCACGCTCATCACAGGAACCCTTGAGTGCAATACTGAGTGCAATATAATCATCTCAGAGTTGGAAGAAAAATGCTTGGCAACACCCATGCAACTCTCTAGCTTCATCACATGTCCTAGCAGTCAGGCTCAGGGGAACTGGTCGCTCCCGATCGCTCTGTCGCTCCCTGCTGAGCTTGAGCTAGTTTCAGCCAGGTCCATCACCCAACCTCTCTCCCCATCGACCATCGACCGAGCACCACCGTCCTCACCTCCCGCCGTCTTCATCCCGTCTCCGCGCCTTTCCAGCACGGCGCCGGACTCCGCCTCTAGGCGATCGCAGAGCATTCCTGCCGGCGAGCGGGTGGCAGGGACCGAGGGACCGATGGCCACCGGGACAATGCGAAGTGCGACGAACGGGTCACCCGACCCAAAAGAGGTCAAGAAGTCTTGAAATACTTGAACCTCATGCGACTCATGCAGATGGAAACACTTTGGACATGGGACAAAAGATGGTCATCATTGATCATTGATCATATATTATACCAGGACCCTCCAAGGGGTGTCCAATGGATTACCCCACACTACCGCACTAGGCTTCCAGACAGGGCACCCCTTGGAGGGTTCTGGTATATACTGTATATAATAGAGAGCAAGGTTGGGTTTTGTTTTTTGTATTGAACGGATAACCCTTGGAATACAGTATACTCACACCAACGGTGTGAGGCTGTGAGAGGTTTGTTGTTTAAGGGTTTGTTGATGTGTGTTGTCAATGCAACCAAATTGCATGCAAAATCGATCGAACCCAGACAAGATGCTGCCAACACTATTCAAGCCAAGAAATGGTGTCAGAGTAAGCGCACTGCTAATTACCTACAAGTAGTTCCCGGGCAAGCCGGCGGCGGAAGTTTCCTATAAGAACACATTGACCTATAGGAGCGTCCACGTTCTCTCCACCATGCGTGTCCCTCGTGTCACTCACTGAGCCAAACACATGCGCTCCGGACTGTTGACACACACACACACAGCGCCACCTGTGCAAGGTCTGTGCTCCCTGCAGGATCAGCGCACTGGGTTGTGTCTATGCCAAAGCAAGATCACCAGCCCACACCGGCGTGCTGAAGCAACTGGGCATCTGCAAGCGAAAGTTAAGTGCAGCTGGTGCGGGCACGCGAAGTGGGTGGTGTTTTCAAAGTCAAAATCATGTCTTCATTGTCCAGCTTGCCAAATACTCCGCGTACTTTACAGTTGTACTACAAAGTCGCCAGTTCTCATTTTCCAGCTCCCCAGATACTCAGCAGCGAGAGATGACTCAGGAGCAAGAGATGACTCACCAGCGAGAGATGACTCATCCGCGTACGAAAGTTGTACTACAAAGTTGCCAGTTCTCAGCTTCTAGCTGCACAGATTGCTCCGCGTACTCAAGTTGTAGTACAAAGTCACCAGTTGCTCTCTGGCTTGCTAGCTAGCGCCTTCAAACCATGGTCAGCTACATGTACGGATCCCAAAACAAAAGCAAGTCACACCCAGTCAACCCAGTCCAACCGCTGGTTCTTTCCAAACAGTGTCCCTAGTCATGGTCAGCTATACGTACAGAATCCAAAACAAAACAAATCATACCCAGGCAACCCAATCCGACTGGACGGGTTCCAAAACAAAAACAACATGCGTGTCCCTGGTCAGTCGCACGCCCTCCGGACTTTTTGACCACCACAGTGCCACCTGTGCAAGGTCTGTGCTATACCAAGGCAAGATCAGCAGCCCACACCGGCGTGCTGAAGCAACTGGGCATCTGCAATTGAAAGTTAAATGCAGCTGCTGCGGGCACGCGAAGTGGGTGGTGTTTTCAAAGTCAAAACCATTTCTTCCAACATTTGGTGTGCTCCTCCGTGCAAAAACAGCGAAACTGTTCCTCGTCGGGCAACGCATTTTCCGGCTGTCTGCGCGGTCCACAGTGACGCACGCAGATCGATGCCTCCCGACAAGAGCCAGGAATGGTTCACCCAGCGCCTCTGGCAGGGCTGGACAAGGTGGAACAACGGGCGGCGGGGGTGGTTCTCTAGCTACGAGGGTGGTGACATGACGTTGGTCACACCACCGCGCGTCGGAATGAATTTAGTTACAGAGGATTTCGAATTTACAATTTCCACCGCAACGCAGGTCACAACACCACACGCCACGCAGAAAAGCATGAGTGCTTCAACACTCGCGCACCAACTCTGACAGTCTGCTTGTGATTCGTCTGATTCTGCGTGTTTGCTGTGTCTCTAAACTCACGCTCTGCATTCAGTGTCAAGTACATGGACACGGCTGCGGAAAGCTTGCCTTTCGTCTCATGCCTTCATTCCATGCCTACAGCGCAACACGCATCTACAGCGCAGCGTCCCAGCCCACAACTTGCGTACTCCACGCCTGTAACCTTCGTCGTCGTCGAAATCAGCGGTGATCTCTTCAGAGACGACTCAGCAGTGAGAGATGACTCAGCGGTGAGAGATGACTCAGCAGCAAGAGATGGCTCAGCAGCGAGACATGACTCTGCAGTGAGACATGACTCCGCAGTGTGACAGGACTCAGGAGCGAGAGATGCCTCATCCGTATACTAAACTTGTACTACAAAGTCGCCAGTTCTCAGCTTCCAGCTCGCCACATACTCCGCGTACTAAAGTTGTACTACACAGTCGCCAGTTCTCAGCTTCC